CTCTTGATTGTGATGATGACATTGAAGCAAATATTGATTTTGAAAAGGAGTTTTCTTTAGTTAGTAGAAAATTCCACCGGATGCTTAAATATAAGCAAAAGAAGCACTGTGGCAATGGTAATTGGAGTATTAAGTCTAATGATCGTAACATGTCGATTTCCCAAGATAGGCTGCTTGTACAGCAGACCAGAGATCCGAATGCAGGCAAACAAGAAAGAGAATCTCAAGGGTACTATAAATGCAGGAAGAATGGACATATCCGCGCAAACTGTCCTCAGAGTTCAAAGTCAAAAGAACGCATGATTGCGGCTACATGGAGTGACTGTGAATCCAGATCGGATAATGAAAAAATGGATCAAGTAGCTTACATGGCCGCTGCATCAAATTTTACATTTGAAGCATCTGACGTAGAAGAACTCCCGTTCAAAACCAATCACTTTGAGGTACCATCTATCCCTGAATCGTCTGAAACATATAAGGTAAATGCTGACAACTTTCTGTTTGTTTTAAAGAATCTAGAAGATGAGGCTCGAACCTTGAAAATCAAGTATTGTTGTCTTAAGGAAGAAATCACTAAACGGAATAGTGAGATAGTTCAGTTGAATCGGATCATAGACTTAAACAAAATTAAAATGGTTGAGTTGTGTAGAGAAAATGAGTTAGTTAAATTGGATAAAGATCACCTTTACAATATGAATCGGATCATAGACTTAAACAAAATTAAAATGGTTGAGTTGTGTAGAGAAAATGAGTTAGTTAAATTGGATAAAGATCACCTTTACAATATGTTAGAACACAAAAATGCTTGTGCATGTTCTTCTAATGATAATAAAGCATTTTGTAGTGTGTCTACTACCTCTATTAGAAATCATTCACCTAAAATTAAGTATTACAATAAGCAACCTAGTAGAAAAGATAGTCCCAGAACTTCAGTTAAATGTTCTGTTTGTAATAAACATGGACATGATCCTATGTCTTGTTGGTGGCAACCTTACTCGTTCATCCATTGGTATCGAAAACCGTTATATAAACAGGTTTGGGTGCGAAAGAAAACTAATGTTTGATCCTTCAGTTGTTGGGAGCTGCAAGAAACCTTTGGCTTCTCTTTAGTGGCTCCACCACTGGATGAGATGAGTTTTTTTTTAATCTTTTTGGTGTTTATGTTCTTTATTCGTGTGGGTGTTTTGGTTAGTCTTTCATGATATTTTCCCGTAGTTCATATAATATGCACTGTGTAGGCTCTGTTATTGCATTGTGTTTGCAAATTGAGGGGGAGATAATTGCATTCCTACCCCTTCTAATGTCTATTTAGTGCATTGTAGCTCTTGCAATTGGTTGGATGATACTTGACCATAGGGGGAGACGAATACTAGAATTGCTTCTGTCTAGTCACTTAAAATAATTCCATGGGGTTTTTCTGATGCATTATGTCTATATTGGTTGTTGATTAAGGCTTTGATCTTCACGCGGTAAGTATTCCTTCTGTAGTTCTGTTCAATAGAATATTGGGAAATGCATTTGGTTTTCTGTGCAGATAGCTATCAATTTGCAATCATTGATTTAGGGGGAGATTGTTGGACGAAATCAGCGATTGCACAATCGGCGTTGTTAAAGACAGAAAATGAAAAGAAAAGGAAGGTATTAACTCAGCAGAAATTCGATTTCGAATTTCCTTCCTTATGAAGGGGTGCATCAACGGTCAAAAGTTATTCATATATATATCTACTGTTCTGCCCTACGTTTGACAACTTTGTAATCGGGAGTGGTAAAGGGCTTGGGATTACAAAGGGGCTTGACGTGAGTAGGGGAATAGGTTCTACTGCGTTGAGGGTATTACGGGTCTGGGTTCGGGGATCCGGATTTCTTCTTGTCATTGATACTTGCTCCTGTTCTTTGTTAACCTTAGATCGAATCTTCTTTATTCGTTCTTTTTCAGCTTGATAGGACGAAAATTCAATAAAAAGAGTCTCCCGGATTAGCTGTGCTATCCCCGGGACGTGGACTGACCTGTAGATTGGGGAACCACGTTAAAAATCATTATCTCCATTTACTCTTCTGCACTTTCGTTTTCGTTCACTTTGTTCTTGGTGGCTCTGTTTCAAAGGTGGGAAAACAGAGCATTCCTTAGTTATTTTTCTCCAGCAGCACAACAAGCTACTGAATTGTCTTCCTTCAACTATTGGGCTTCGGGTAAAGCCCAGCCAAGAGTGGGAGCTCCTCATCGGTTATAAGCCTAGTTTGGGTTCCTCTTTATTTTTACATCTTTTGGGCTTTAAGTGTTTTAAGACCACTACTCAATTACATGAAACACGACCAGAATCAAAATCATATCATTTCATCTTCCTCCTCGTGTGCTCTCCTTTCACTTGTTCTTCTACTGTCAAAATCCCTAGAAATTGAACTAACAGTCTTTTTTCATTCTTGTACTTTAAACCGATTCGTACTCTTTCCTTCCAACATCACTTCATTTCGATCATTAACAAGCATTCTGAATTGGAACGAGCCACACATTTGCAACAACTTTCTCCAAATCCACGATCCTACTACTGAAAGAGGTAGGTCTCAAAATGAGCGACCCTTAAGCCTATATTGATGAATCCATGCAACCCATAAACTCTCTCCTTGCATAAGGAGAAGCCATATTTTTTTGGGAGGATTTGAAAGAGGAATTCTTATACGTTTTTCTAGAATTTCTAAATTTGGTGTGGGTTCTAGTCTTTCTCCAACCCTCCACTTCTCTTTGTGTAAAAAAGCTTAGCAAGTTACTTGTAAAAGATAAATTTTATCGGTATAAAAGATTTATTTCACCATTATAGTTTATTTATTACTTGTCATCTTTCATAACATTTTTGGTTTGCTTCGTGAGGTTTTTGGTGTGTGTTCTTGTTTTTTGATTTGCTTCATGAGAGTTCTGGTATGGTTGCTCATATTTCTTGTATGCTTCGGGGAACTTGTAATCAGCTCTACGAGGTTTTTGATATGCTTCATGATACTTATGGTCTAATTTATGATATTTGTGATATGCTTTAATAAACTTGTGGTAAGCTTTACAAGGTTTCTAGTCTACTTACAGAACTTGTGGAATACTTTATGGGGTTTCTGGTGTGCTTTAAGAAACTTGTGGGCATCTTGATAAGATTTCTAGTGTGCTTGAGGAAACTCGTGATCTTCTTTATGAGATTTATGGTATGCTTTAAGAAACTTGTGATCAGATTTATAAGGTTTTTGGTATTTTTCAAGGAACTTATGGTATGCTTTATGAGGTTTTTTGTCTGCTTCAAGAAAATTATGGTTAGCTTTATGAGGTTTCTAGTCTGCTGAAGGGGACTTGTGGTGACCTATATAAGGTTTTTTGGTCTACAATAAGAAACTTGTGGCCAGCTTTGAGTTTTCTAGCATGCTTTATGAATTTGATGGCGTGGTTCTGGTATGCTTTAATAGCTTTCGGTCTACTTTATGTTATTTTTTGTTTGGTTTATTGTGTGACTGGTCTGAATTTTATGATCTACTTCATGATACTTGTGGTCAGGACGAGATGCACGATAAATGAGCAGTGTTACAAGAGTGTTACTCCCTATAATTTTTAAAAATGACAAGCTAGGGTGCACCTTCTTTTAAAAAATCAGCATTAATTAATAGGATTTTGCTACGGTGACATGCATGTCACGGTGACATGCACTTTTCGGTCGACCTCATATAGGATCAGGTCGACCTAATCTGTTGTTTCAGTGTAAAAACAGTTTCATGGTGCCTACTTTGGATATTCATATCTTACAATTGGCTAGATGAAAATTGGAGATTAAAAGCTTGTTTTGAAGCTGAAGTGTCCCTCTACACATTAAAGTACTTGGGAGCTCAACAGAAAGTCCAGAAGACCATTTTTGAACCTGACCAAAAGGCTATGCCAAAATTGGGAAACTGCCTGAAAATGGCTAAGTCTGGCAACGTGTTTGTCAAGTCTACTTTGGAGCTCAATTTGAGAAGCATGGATGCGAGTCAAGTCCAGAGGCCTCTACCACGTTAAATTACGTATTTTTTTATACAAAGGCAAGGCATTGGATGAAAGATTTAATATCTTTAAGGCTTCAAACAAAAGACTCGAAGTTGCTACGAAGGCTGTTTTTCTGGCAGCTTGCTTGTGCTCGAAGTCTGCCAAAAAAACAGCCTTCATAGCAACTTCGACCCTTTTGTTTGAAGCCTTATAGATATCCAATCTTTCATCCAATGCCTTGAATTTGTATAAAAACATACCTAATTTAACGTGGTAGAGGCTCCTGGACTCGACTCGCATTCATGCTTCTCGAATTGAGCTCCAAAATAGGCTTCACAAACACGTTTCCATACTTAAGTCATTTCCAGGCAGTTTCCCAGTTTTGGCATAGCCTTTTGATGAGGTTCAAAAATGTTCTTCTAGACTTCCTATCGTGCTCTTAATCACTTCAATACGTAGAGAGACACTCCAGCTTCAAAACAAGTCATTAGTCTTCAATTTCCATCTAGCCAATTGTATGATATGAATATCCAAAGTAGGCACCATGAACTGTTTTTACACTGAAACAACAGATAAGGTCGACCTGATCCTATATGAGGTCGACCGAATCCTAAATGAGATCGACCAGATCCTATATGAGGTCGACCGGATTCTGAATGAGGTCGACCTAATCCTAACTGAGGTCGACCGGAAAGTGCAAGTCACCGTGACATGCATGTCACCGTAGGCACACCCTAATTATTATAATTCTTTAAAGGGTTAATTCCTTAGTTTGGCTCGAACTATACACAAACTTTCTACTTTGGCCCGTGGTTTCCGAAATTGCTATCCTGGCCTGAACTATGTATCATACTTCCTAACTTGGCCCGGAGCCGGGTTTGACCGTTAGTCAATGGGCAGCTCACTTGCCACGTCAACGAGCATGGAATAAAAAAATTATTTTTTGTTTCTCTATTCATTTTCTTTTCTAATAATAATAATAAACAAAAATAATAATAAATAACCCAATTTATCCCCTTCTTCCCCGAAACCAAACGCATCCTCCTTCCAATTCTCCTCCGACACCAGCAACCCAGCCGCGCCGGTTACCAGCACCGACATTCCGCCGCCGCGGTGGATCTGGGTCGAATTCAACAACTGATTCTCCCACTGGATTCTGCCCCATGACGCCGTGAAGTACTAGCTTCCGGAATCGACGAAGCTCTGGAAGATCAGATACGACGCTGTCAAAGCGATCAAGAAGAGCGCCCACAGGAACATCGTGATGGTTAGGGGTGTACATAGGTCGGGTGGGTTGGGTTTTACCACTTTAGTCACCCAACTCATACATCACGGTTTACACTTATTAAAACCCAAATCCAACACAATAAAATTAGAACCCAACGGTTTAGGTCGGTTTGGGTCGTTTTGGATTGAAGTGTAAATCCTATCAAAACCCAACCCAGTAAAAAAGAAATAATACAAAATTTCCAACCAACCCTAAACTCATATTTCCCAACAAAGCCAAACAATTGAATGTTTTCAGTAAAAAAAATCTCAAACTAAATAACTGAATCTCACACACTAGAAATTAACCCCACCAACCCAATCTCTCTGTATTGTGGAAAATAAAATCCAATCTCTCTGGCCTCTGCCCTACAACCTCTATTTCTATTCCATCAGGCGCCCATCACTTTATCCCACTTCACCCCACTAGTCGCCAACTTCCGATCACCACTGCTCGTTGCCGAGTTTCAACGATGGTGGCCGCAGTTCCATATCATAATCAATTTAATCTCCATTCCAATCGCCATCCCATCCCAACCTACCGATCATCTCCGCCGGGCCTCCCAACGGTTGTTTAAAACTGGGTCGGTTTGGGTTGCTCGGTTTTTAGAAACCCAAACCCAGAACCAACCCAGACAGTTGCCGGATCTTCCTTCCAGCACCCTCACCCACCCATTTAACATAGATTTGCTCGGGTTTCGGGTTGGTTTGGGTCGGGTGACACGGGTGGGTCGGGTTCCCGGTCACTTTGTTCACCCCCAGTGATGGTGGAGGAGAAGCATTGGTGGAACTGTCAGTTCATCGCGTGATGATGGTTGCTCCGGTCGATCTTGAACTTCCCAAGCGTCGACGGAAACAGCTGCTCATCAAGCGACGATATCCTTGTTTTCCTCCGTTGCCGCCATAGTCATCGTCAGATTGGTGCCTGGCTCTACGATCTGCTGGATTGTGGGAATAAATCTTGATGGGTGGCAAGGGAATGGAATTAAGCAGATGCAGAGTTAACAATGGTGGAAAAATTGAGGATTTTTTTTATTTGAGATGTGGATTTTTTTTTGTTGCACCTGCTAAAGAATGGGAAGGAGGATGGGTTTTGTTTCAGAGAAGAAGGGGATAAATTGGGTTATTTTTTTGTTTTATTATTATTATTATTAGAAAAGAAAATGACTATGGAAACAGAAAATAAATTTTTTTATTCCATGCTCGTTGACGTGGCAAGTGAGCAGGCCATTGACTAACGGTCAACAGAGTTGACCATCCAATTTGACGGTCAAAGCCGGCTCCGGTCCAAGTTATGAAGTATGGTACATAGTTTAGGTCAGGATAGAAATTTTGAAAACCATGGGCCAAAATAAAAAGTTTGTGTATAGTTCGGGCCAAACTAAGGTATTAACCCTTCTTTAAAAATAAAATAAAAAACCTTTGTAAAACAAAATGTCATATTGATTGGAACTAGTATTAGCACCTTGGCATGAGCAGGGATATTGGAGTCGAAATGTTGGAAGCCCTCTGACTCGCTATGACACAACATCAAACTGCGACCAAGTATAATCGCAGATTGGAAATGCAGAATAGTGGTTTAGTTAAATTATCGACCCGGGATCTAGATCTACTGCCTACTCCGTGAACTCCTATTATCTAGCGAGACTAAATGAGCGAAGTGATTTCAAAGCAAGAGAAATGAAAAACAAGTAATGTTATGGTTCTTATCAGGTACTAAAGTTCATGTATGGTTCCCCCTATTGTGAAGCTAGTTCAGGTTATACGTTCCCAATTTACTTAGACTGGTAGATAAACCGCGGAAAGTTCTTTACTGGTATGGACTCTCGACTAAAGTTATCAAGATCCTCTTGGTTCGAATACCCGGCGGGCGACTACCCTCCACCGGCATACACTAACTGAGGTTAATCACACGAAACTTCCTCTACAGGCGCTTGTTCCAGTACGGAACAGTGAATAGACTTCTCGACTAAAGTAGTCGATACACCACTTTCAATTAAAGGTTGCTCTTTTAACCTATGCATAGACTATCGTTCTAGGTTAAAGTAGAAATTACACATGTTTGATTAGGACTCAAGCAATTCTGATTAATTCCTCAATTGAATTTATCAAATCAATCATTTGCAAACGGGGTTCATACAATCATTCCTAACATACACAGCTAGGGTTCTTCATACCCAGATGAAATGGAAAATTACTCCATCGAGAGATGTGCGAACGTCATGCTCGAAGAAGACATCATCAAAATGACAATGGGAATATGCTCTTGGCGGCTAATTGGTATTGCGAGGTTGAGGAATCGAGCTCCCAAGTCTTCAGGTTGCTCCAATCCTTGCCCAAGGGTTTTCCTTCGTCACTCTCTCTCTCTCTCTAGGGTTCTTTTTCTGCCTTTAGAGAAAATCTGGATCCTTTGCCTTTAGCCCGAGCAACCCTTTTATAAGTTGTGAATCTGCGAGTTACGGCCTAAGTTATGGTCGTAACTTGGCTTGCCCGCCCGTAACTCTCCTTCAAACGACATCGTTTCTCCACTCCGTAAACCAAGAGTTATGACTTCTTTGATGGAGTTACGACATCGACTGTAACTTGAAGAGGGAGACCTTAATTCCAAGAATGCTCATAGAACCTAGATCATCCGCTTCCTCAGAGTTACTGGCAAGGGGAGGAGGTTATGGCCCAAACCGTAACTTGAAGGGTCTGGCCGTAACTTTCAGAGAGCTACTGGAATCCTTGGCCCCCTTCACTTTAGAGTTACGACTTCTTGAAGGAAGTTACGGGCCATACCGTAACTTTTAAGGTCTGGCCAAAACTCCCAGGTGCTTGCTCCCCGTTTTCTCCAAAATGTCCCAAAACTCGCTCTTTCACGCCCGTTCACGGACTAGGGCTTGAAACATCATAAACTAACACACACAAGCGTAAAACAAGCCATGAGAGTGATAAACCAGACTCAAATGATCAAAAAATGATTGGAAAAACATGTTCGAATATAGTGTTATCACCCTCGCGGCAGAGATGAGTGCCAAACTTGCACGCCAGCTGGAGCTACTACTTCCAGTGCTCGAAGTTGATTGCCTGTCATTGCTTGAGAAGTTTCAGACTGCGGACAACATTCGCGCAGAGATTGGCCTAATATGTCGACGGACGTTGAGTCTTCTACGAGATAGCGGATCATATCTAATGCACATTCACCATGGTAGGAGGCAAGCAAATAATGCAGCGCATATTGTGAAACATAGTGAGACTCATTGGAATTGTCGAGAGGTGTGGTTGGATAGACCATCTTTGTTCCTAGTTGACTAGCTCCAGCTGGATGATGTAACCATTCCAACTTGATTAATGAAGTTACAGGTTACCAATAAAAAAAATTATTAGCACCTTGGCCAATGCGAGCTAATTGGTTTATAAATGACCATTGTATAATAAATTTAGCTGAGAGAGACCCTGTAATCATCGCGTAAAAAATAACCAAAAAGGACAAACTAACTATTTTTATAATTAATCCAAACTTCAGGGACAAGTTTTAACCCATCAAAATTGGGGGATGCTTTTTTTTTTTTTTTTTGACAAACAAAATTGGGGGATGCTTGCTAATTGCTAATTCCCAAAGATAACTAAACGTTCATGAAGTTGACCTGTATCCAACCCACATTACTGCTTTGTGTCAAAGTAAGACTTCTATTCGCAGCCATGTCAACAACAGCAAAATTAGAGCATTAGTATTCCTCAAACATCAATCTAACTTATGTCCTGGCACGTATGTACATACTACTTAATACGCCCTGTCCTTGGAAGGTTGCTGATTTTCTTTTATGAAAGCTGGTGCTGAGGCACCACTACCTCTCAACTAATAATAATCAAATTGGATAAAAAAAATTCTCCGCAATACAAAAGTCATTACTAAATGTTTGTATCAGAAAAAATCAAACTATAAAATATAGAGTTTAAATATGCTCTACGTGAGCTAAACTCTATTAGTTTTTGGCACAAGCATACATGTTCGTGCCCTGTAACTGGGCGCCCCGAACCTTCGCGCGTGTCCGTCCTAGCTTGCCCGCACCTGCACGCAGCACGGCTAAACTGAGTCCAAGGTAGGACTCGTTAGCACTCCAACGCCCAAGTCAGATACCCTTTCTAGAGAGAGAAGTGAATAGTAATTTTAGAGAGAAGTTCCAACCTGAGTCAATGAGGTTCACCAACCTGACTATTTATACCCGAAGCCCGGCCGACCAATATCCTTCTCTTCCGCCCCTTGCCAGGCCCGCATTTAATGCTCCGTACGGCCAAGCGCTATGCGCCTTGACCATCTGACACTCCGTTCAGAAGGGACAGGCGCATGACGTCAGCTGGTCCCCAAACCCGTACTCTGGGACTCCCTTGTGGCTCCCTGCCGCACGCGCCTCATGTCAGAGTTGCGGCCCCACCCGTCTGGGGAGGCTCTTCCCAGTCCATGAGCCAACTTCTTCAATGCCACTGGGCCCATTAGGCCGGGCCCAATCCTTTAGCCTTCCGGCCTCTCCTCTTGGGCCATTTCGGCCCAGTCCACGTGGGCCATGTATGCATCCCCAACAATACACTTCTAATACCAAAACGTAGAAAATATACCCTACAATCTAAATTTCCGTTAATCAGTCGTTAAGTAAGCTGAGAAATGACCCAAATACCTTTATTTTGTACTAATTTTGTTTTGTCATTTTTTTATCACAACCCAATTAAAAGAATTTCAATTGCACCCTGCTTGCGGAAGAACTAGGTATTCCACCATTTCATCTTTAATCCTCCGCCACCGTCAAAAGCCCATCCCCAATCTATAGACTATAGACTCCCGTGTGCCCTGCTTGTGGCGCCGCACCCAGCTTTTCCTTGCCGCCTAATAGAATCCGATGAGACGGCAGTGGCTGGAGCAGATAGACAGCATCCAACGTTCGCCAGCAAAGAGCCTCGGGTGAGACGGCGTGCTGAGTTTCCCACTGACCGGAGGCTCTTGAATTTCAATCAGTGGATACAATTAGGGCTAGGAAA